CAGGTGAGAGGAAGCAGGCTTGGGGGCTGGGGGGTGGCGACTTAGAGGAATCCCCTTAGCAGCTTCTCCTGAGGAGGCTGCCAGCAGCAGGCACGGTGGCACGAGTCTCTTTCCAGCTCTCTGGACTCCCTGGAATTGTCAGCTGAAGGCTGTGGGTGCACTTGCTCAAGGAGAAAGCCCAGAGCTTTGGAAAGGGGCTTGTGGGACCCTCCGAAGAGCAAGAATCTGAAGACAAACCAGGGCCTGGGGGTTACTATGACTGGTCTATGGAGGATCAACGTCTTGCCCTTCTCGGAGAACAGCTGGCTAGGGGAAGAGAGTGCCGAATAGGATACGATCCTGCTTCTCGGAGTCATGCTATTAATTTAAATTCTGCCTTTTCCCCTGGGCCCACCCCACCCCCACCCCAAGGGAGTGGTGGGAACAGTACGAATGATGGCTTTGTCCAGCCCTTCTGGCCTTGGTCACCCCTCTGCACTAATGAGGCCAATGGCCAATGAACACTACTCCTTGGTTCCTGTGGCCCCTCCCAGCTTCTGCTCCTACCCCTCACACAAGCGTCTGAGGCTCTTACGGAAACTTTTGCCCACTTGCTCCCCAGGTACCTTCTAAAATGCCAGGGTCCCTCATGTTGCATCCAGAATGAAATCTTCTATTCCAGCAACATCTATTGAGACCCTCTATGTGTTGAAGAAGAACCAATGCCTTCGAATGATGGTGTCAGAGAAGAGAAAACGGCCAGAAGAAGGAACCTGCCCTGTCTTGGAGGAAGTAGAGCCAGAACGTTCCTTAGAAATGTGGATGGTCAGACTTTGTCTTGTGCTTGGGATATGTTATCAAGAGAGACCAGTCGATGGAGAAGAACATGATGCTTGGTGGCGCTCACTGCCATCGTCAATGCCAACTTACAGGGACCATATAGGACACGATGGAACTGCCCCTGTGGGTTTTTAAGACTGTAGCTCTTTACCGGAGGAGAAAGCCCTGTCTTTCCCCCATGAGGAAGAACTTCAAGGAGATGGATTGGCACCCTAGCTGCAACAATGGGCTCAAACAGCACAATGATTAAGAAAATAGTATAGGACCAAGCCGTGTTTTGTTCTGTTACATATAGGGGTCACTATGAATCAGAACCACTGGACAACAACTAGGCACCACCACCAGATGTTGGGTATTGTGAGGAAGACACAGATGGTCAGATAAGGTCCCAGATCTGGAAGGTGAGCCTGCAGGCTGATGGAAGATCAGCCAACACATGTGTCAGAGGGGAGGAAGAGGGAAACTGCAAGGGGACATGAGAACCCTCAAGGGGTCAGCTGATTAATAGGCTAGGCGCTAAGGCAGTGGTTCTCAACCTTCCTAATGCTGCGACCCTTTAATACAGTTTCTCATGTCATGATGACCTCCCAACCACAAAATTATTTTCATTGCTACTTCATAACTGTCATTTTGCTACTGTTATGAATTGAGCGACCCCTGTGAAAGGGTCATTTGACCCCCAAAGGGGTCGTGACCCACAAGTTGAGGACCACTGGGCTAAGGGGTGGCTTCTCAGAGGTTCAGCAGTAGCTCTGGAACTGGCTTGTAGTCAGCATTGTCCCAGCAATTGGTTTGGGTTTGCTCTGATGACCGGCAGACTACATGGGCAGATCCGGATACACAATTTGCCATGCAAAATGCAACTGCAGGGTCCTTGGTTCGAACACTATAAAGGCTTTCAGACTCTGGCAGTAGAATATTAAACCTGGCCTGGTGCCCATACCTGGTTAAGCAGTGGGTTGCTAACTACAAGGTCAGCAGTTCCAAACCACCAGCCGTTCAGTGTGGGAGAGAGACTTAGCTTTGTACTCTGGTCAAGAGTTCCAGTCTCAGAAACTCACTGGGACAGGCAGTTCTACCCTGTCCTATAGGGTCATTGTGAGTCTCATCCACCTGATGGCAGTGAGCAGGGGCCCATGCGGCAGCATGCGTCGCATACCCTGAGGCCCTGACACTGGCCATGGGCCGGAAAGGGCAGATCAGAAGGCTGGAAGGCAAAGTCCCAAGTCTTGGTGATCTGGTGGGCATGCAAAGAGAGGGGCAATCCAACTTCAGGGTATTCCTTCTGGTACTGGTTGCCAGGTGACCCTGCTGCTTCCGAGGTACCCCCCCTTAAGAGGCTCCCCAGAACAATTATGATCCACTGAGATGTGTCAAATGCACCCTTGCCTTCTTTCCTTCCCCCTGTGGCCCACTAAGGCCTCTTCAGATAGGGCTGCTGCACCACACTGTTGCTGGGCTCTCCCCAACCCACCCCTTCCGACATCTCACTTCCGAAGCGCTCCTCCCATCTGTGAGGCCTCTTCACCTCGGCTATCACCACCAAGTTCCGGCAGCCCCTTATCAGCTCGGGCCTAGGTTACCCGCACAGGCTTCCGCTTAGTCTCTGACCCCACCCCCGCCTTCTAATCAAAAGACCTGGCTTCCACCCAGTAGCCTCAGGGATCTGTCTACCCAAAGGCTAACCGGACATCTTCACTGAGACCTTGTGGGGGGGGGCTAAGCTCCAAATGCCTTAAGTGGCCCAGCAGGCCCTCTGTCACCTGCCCAGGCTTCAGATGCTAACAGATATGCCAGAAGAGCCCTGACTCCCACATATCTAACATTATCTATTGCTGGATGGGGTTTTTTTTTTTGTTATTTTTTTCCTTTACCTCAAACGGTTTCCTGTGACTGGGATCCCCCCACCCCCGTTCTTAGCCTCACTAGCTTCAATTCATTCTTCGAAGCTCACCTCAGCCTTTGTCTCCCGTGAGAAACCTCCCCCAGCCTGCAGTCCTGCCCAGCCTGGACACACCCTGGAGTTCTCCAAGGCTGACTATCCAAGGACCTTACCGGCTGGACAGACAGACACTTGAGGCTGGGTCAGGCACCCTGCTGGGCTGGGCAGCTGCAGCAGAGCGTGCACAGGGCCACTGTGATGTAGCCAGTAGCCAGCACCCAGCACAGAGACTGCGCCTCGTGGGTGGGCCATAGAAGTGGTTGGCTGCCGGCTGAATGGTGTGAGGGTGGATGGTGCCGGAACACGCTGGAAAAGGAGTGGGTTGCCGAGAAGCCTGGCAGAGAGAAACCAAGTGATAGAAAACCCCCAGATCATGTCATTGAGACCCCATTGGCACAGCAAGGGCGCTGTCCTTGTTTGGTGGGGGGATTAGTTTCCCATGGCAGCCCCGCTGGGACAGTAGAACGGCCTAGGTAGGTTTTCTTGGCTGCAATCTTTACACGATAGCCAGGTCTTTCTCCTGCAGAGCCCCTGGATGAGTTAGAACTGTCAACCTCTCCGTACCAGTGGAGTGTTTAATCGTGTGCACCACCAGGGCAGGGATAGTGCCGTTGAATTAAGCTCTCACTCAGAGGCAATGCCAGCTTATCGATGATGTCCTGAGTGGAATGTCTTTAACTTCAGAATTTAATTTTTGCTACTTCTTAAAAGCCCCGCCACTCCTGTGTCCTCAGTATACAGAGCCCCTGTGCAGGGGAGGCAGACTGCGGTCAAGCAGCATACCCCAACCCCACCCCAAGACTATCAATGAAATGGCTGGCTGTGAATTTGGGGAGGGGTACATCTCCTTTGCACCTTGTCCCACAGCTAGCGAATCCCTGGCAAATATTTGCTGAATGGGTAAAAGGTACTCAGTTGCCCCAGCATGGGGATGGGTGGTCTGGACCTGCAGTTCGATTTGATCCCCAAATAATCCTCCTAAAGCCAGAAGCCACCTGGACAGTAGTTGGCTCGAGTGCGTTCCATGTGAGGTACATGTTGATGCTGCTCTGGACCTCACAACGGGGTTTTCCAGAAATCCAGAGTGCCTACTTTAGATCAGCATGTTCTAATCAATACTGGAAAATCCATTTGGGGAGATGTCTACCTCTTCTCTCTCCTTTTTTTTTTTTTTTTAAGAATTTATTTTGACGTTGAGAATGTACACAGCAAAACATACAGGGATATGAGAATACGCAGCAAAAAGACATGTGTGGTCCACCGTCTCTATATGTCCCGTCTAGTGACAATGGTGGCAGCTGTCCAGTGGTGCGATCTCCCTACATTCTAAACAAGCAGTTTGTTTTGTTGATGCTGAGAATATACAAAGCAAAATATACACCATTCCTACATTTGAGTGACTGATGACATTCTTCGAGGTGTACAGCCATGCTCACCCTCAACTATGATTAAGTCCATTTGCAAACACACAGAAAAGTGGAGAAAACCCTCAACTATGATTAAGTCCATTTGAAAACACACAGAAAAGTGGAGAAAACCGAACGAGGAACCCCCGGATACCCACCCCTCGGCGTCAACATGAAACAAATCCCAGCCATAGGCTGGCGACTCAATTCACTCATAAAGGGTTCTGGAAGGATGAGAATGGGTTTCGGGTTTCATCTCTGGCCACCGCTCCCCTCTCCAGTGCCCAGCGCGGGCCGGGCACGACCCCTCGGCAGGTTCTCCACCCACGCCCCGTACACGCGGCGCCGGTGGTGCTTCCTCCGTTGCTGCCTCCGCCTCCGCTTCCCGCACGGCGTGGGTCAGCCCGGTGCGGTGGCGGGCCCAACACCCCCACCCGCGGTCGGTGATGCGCCAGTGAGTCTCCCCGCGCAGCGCAGCGGCCCGCCGGAGGAGGCGCTTCCACTTCCTCTTCCTCGCGCTGACTAAGCGCGCCGCACCGGCAGAGCCCGCCCCGCTGCCCGCGGTGGGAGGCGGAAGCCCCGCCCAGAAGGCGTGACCACTGCCCGAAGGGGGCGGGGAAATACCCATATTTGGCCTTATATGGGCAGCCACGTCACCGGCCGCTCATTCATTCACATAAAACGCTGCGCCGCCGGCGGAATCCCCGGCTTCTGGAGCTGCAAGTGGCCGCGCCGGGTGCTGAGCGTGCCGGGCGGGAAAGAAGAATTTGAGCGGCCGCTCCGGCGCCGGGATCCGTCAGCCGGCCGCTGTGCCTCGTTAGCGGGCACGCTGGCCGTGGGCACCTGCGCGGGGCCGCTGGGCAGCGGCGGCGGCGACATGAAGGTCACGTCGCTCGACGGGCGCCAGCTGCGCAAGATGCTCCGCAAGGAGGCGGCGGCGCGGTGCGTGGTGCTCGACTGCCGGCCCTACCTGGCCTTCGCGGCCTCGAGCGTGCGCGGCTCGCTCAACGTCAACCTCAACTCCGTGGTGCTGCGGCGGGCCCGCGGCGGCGCCGTGCCGCCGCGCTACGTGCTGCCCGACG